CGATTTTTGGCAAAAATGGGAATTGCCATTAGTCAGTTCAGGTTCAATGGATTTTGCTCATTTTTGGTATGTGAATGAATAAGGGCTAGGGGTTTATATATATTAAAAGGAAATTATGCAAATTAGGTAGGGTTTGGCAATTCTATAGCATATTATATAGACACACAAACCGTCTGTGGTGTCACACTCGTCTGGTTAGTTTTACAAGATTTCATTGACAATATCTTTAATGCAAAATTGGTATTTCCTCTCCACCCTGCCGATAAACTGTCTATATTAGAGTAAAGTTTTACAAAACATGTCGGAACGCAGCATAACCTATTTATTTTCAAACGCCATCGCTACAAAGCGGGTATAGCGCCATCTACGGTCACAAATTGTGATTCATTTTGTTTTAAAATTATTATTGCGATATACAGATGGCAATCGTTTCTATAATGTAAGTCGATGGTTGCTCAATTAAAACTGACTTCTTAATTCTTACTCACTCATTTGTGTCTTTTTTTAGCTCATCTGACATAGTCAGATGCAGCTTGTAGAATCGCACGATCGTCCGTCCGTCCGTGCGTGCGTCCGTTCGTCAACAGTTGGGCACAAATCTTAACCGCTCGACGTACGGTGACGATATTTGGCACATCGGGGGGATCGTCAAAACGAGTTGGGATGTCGAAGCTGGGGTCAAAGGTCTAAGGTCAAGAGGTGTAAAAGAAGAGGGAACATTCACTCCTTAACTTAAGGTATAGGGAGGAAATGCAGAATAGCGGCACAAATCTAAACGGCTCGACCTAGGCTCGTGATAGTCGGTGTATAGCATCATGGTAGGAAAAGCCATCACTGTGCTGAAATTGGAGGTCACAGGTCAAAGGTCAATGGGCACAGGGAAGATTTTAGACATTTTCTGAGGACATGGTCTGACGGAGCGATTGAAAAACTTTTTTGTTTCAGCGTGACCTAGCATTTTTATGGCTTTTTGAAAGGACCAATGAAATGTCCTTCTGCTGACATGCGAAGAGTAAGTGTCGGATAACCTTTTGACCCTAAGAGGAGGGTTAAACATGGATTTGTTGACTGTCTGTTAGAAAGAATTTGACTGCCGGGTTTGCTAGTAGAGTCTATACATGCCTGGATGTTCGAGGCTACAATGTCACACTGAAATTTCAAAAGCTAAATTTGGTTGAAGAAGGTTTATGCTCCTTAAATCCTATAATTTCTATGGCATTCTGTACTGTCAGTAGTTTACACGTAACGTATGCCACTGCCAGTGGCCACTGCCAGTGCATGTGGTGGTGGCTGTGTAGTTTTTGCCTGCATTATTAGTTACAGGTGGCAGCTCTCTATTGGCAGCCTGTAGGCTTGCGTAGGTAAATGGATGAGTGCTTACCTATTCTGTCTTGCAAAATAGTTGTTGCTACTACATACGATGGGAAGCTTCCATCTTTAATCTAAAAACACTTAAACGTACGCGCCATCTCGTGGCAACTTCATAACGATCCCAACAAACACATTCCTTGAGAAGGTTCCTGACACCATCCCTGTGCATTCCACTGTTTCGGCGTGTATGTGAACACATTTGGGACTAACAGGGTTTATAGAATCCCACCACTCCACCACAGAGTCACCGCAGTAGACGTTAGATGAGCGCTGTCGCTCCGCGGCACTTGTTGTGGTGAGCTACAGTGTCAATTGACATTTCATTGTGATTAGATTCTGGTTTGAAATGTGCAAATAAAATAGTCATAGCATTCGGTCAACGATAACTCAGGAACCGTTTGACCCACATGTTTGAAATTGGGTGTAGTTGTTACTGCTATGCTCCCATATTAAACGTCCTATTTTGGAGCACGCCAGTCCGTGTACTTTCGAGCCACGGCGATTTTTTGGCAAAAATGGGAATTGCCATTAGTCAGTTCAGGTTCAATGGATTTTGCTCATTTTTGGTATGTGAATGAATAAGGGCTAGGGGTTTTAATATTTAAAAGGAAATTATGCAAATTAGGTAGGGTTTGGCAATTCTATAGCATATTATATAGACACAAACAGTCTGTGGTGTCACACTCGTCTGGTTAGTTTTACAAGATTTCATTGACAATATCTTTAATGCAAAATTGGTATTTCCTCTCCACCCTGCCGATAAACTGTCTATATTAGAGTAAAGTTTTACAAAACATGTCGGAACGCAGCATAACCTATTTATTTCAAACGCCATCGCTACAAAGCGGGTATAGCGCCATCTACGGTCACAAATTGTGATTCATTTTGTTTTATAAATTATTATTGCGATATACAGATGGCAATCGTTTCTATAATGTAAGTCGATGGTTGCTCAATTAAAACTGACTTCTTAATTCTTACTCACTCATTTGTGTCCTTTTTTAGCTCATCTGACATAGTCAGATGCAGCTTGTAGAATCGCACGATCGTCCGTCCGTCCGTGCGTGCGTCCGTTCGTCAACAGTTGGGCACAAATCTTAACCGCCCTCAGTACCAGGGTGACGATATTTGGCACTCGGGCGGGGCATCGTCCAAAACGATGGATGCTCAAGTGGCGGTCAAAGGTCTAAGGCAATAGGTGTAAAAGAAGAGGGGAACAGTCACTCCTTAACTTAATGGTAAATAGGAGGAAACTGGCAGAAGTTAGCGTTCCTGTATGTCGAGATATTGCTAAAACGGCCTCGACCTAGGCCGGATGTCCACGGTGTATAAGCATCATGCTAGAAAAGCCATCACTGTCTGAAATTGAGTCACAGGTCAAAGTCCAATGGGCACAGGAAGATTTTAGACATTTCTGAGCGACATGGTCTGACGGAGCGATTTAAAAACTTGTTTGTTTCTAGCGGTGACCTAGCATTTTATATGCGCTTATTGAAAGGACCGGATGAAATGTCCCTTCTGCTGACTATGCGCAAGAGTAAGCTGCTCGCGATAACCTTTTGACCCTAACGAGAGGCGTAACATGGATTTGTGACTGCGCTGTGAGAAGAATTGACTCCCGGTTTGCTAGTAGAGTCTATACAGCCTGGATGTTCGAGGCTACAATGTCACACTGAAATTTCAAAAGCGTAAATCTGGTTGTAAGAAGTTATGCCCTCCTTAAATCCGGTGTTATAATTTCTATAGGCATTCTGTACTGCTCAGCTTATATTACACGCCTAACGCTATGCCACTGCCAGTCGGCCACTGCCAGTGCATGTGGTGCTGTTCGGCCCTGTGTCAGTTTTTGCCTGCATAATTAGTTACAGTGCAGCCCTCTCTATTGCAGCCCTGTAGCTTGCGCCTTAGTGGTAAATGGCATGAGCTGCCCTGAGCCTATGCCTGTCTTGCAAATAGGTTGTTGTAACTACATACGATGGGAGCTTCCATCTTTAATCTAAAACACTGAAACGTACAGCGCCCATCTCGCTGGCAACTTCATAACGATCCCAACGAACATTCCTTTTCCTTTGAGAAGCTTCCTGATACCATCCCTGTGCCTTCCACTGTCGTGTATGTGAACACATTTGGGACTAACAGGGTTTACTAGAATCCCACCACTCCACCACAGAGTCACCGCAGTAGACGTTAGATGAGCGCTGTCGCTCCGCGGCACTTGTTGTGGTGAGCTACAGTGTCATTGACACTTTCATTGTGATTAGATTCTGGTTTGAAATGTGCAAAATAAATAGTCATAGGCACACCTTTCTCAATGGGCAGCAGAGTCATAAAGGGCGCACAAACACACACACATTCTAGATTGTTGTTCTGCTTTAATTATGTTGTGATAATCTTACAGAAGGACATTAATAGAAGCCATAAAAAGAAGCCAAAAGGTTAGTCCTCTTACAGTTTATATTACTGTCTACATTCTGTTATATACGCTCTATATTATACTAGACCAGTTAGTTCTGGCAATTGGGCAATTCATCCCCGATTTCTTAAAATTGGTTTGAAAAGTGTAGTGTAAACCTGCTCACGGCATATGCTCGAGCCGATCAGGCCACAATTAAAAAAATCTTTGTTTGCCCTCACCCAACCCAGGCTGAAAAGTTTGGGTAGGTAGGTCGGCTTCTTTTTTTGAGCTTTTTTCTACATGCTCGCGTGTGCTTGTGTGGAGATACCTTTCATGTTGAATGTTTCTTTTGCTTGGTACATATAATGTATTGCCTGCAGATTTATATAATGTACAGTGATACAATTTGTTAAAAAGAAAAGAAAAAGATCATTAAAATTTTTTGAGTCGGCCCCTTTTTGGCGGGTCGGTGGGATGAGGGCAAACAAACAATATTTTTATTATGGCCTCAGTTTGGAGACGTATACATCATGCTGTGAAACCAGCATGACTGTTGGGATTGTCAAAGGTAAACAAAGCTGGAAGTTGGGGGCATGGTGATTAGCTGGTGAGAGCACGTTGGACGACTTATAATGGGGTGTTGTAAATTACCTTCAGCTTTTTGTAAGTTTGTGTATAACTTGTTGTACATGCACATAATATGATGGTCGCTCAACTCGTATAGATGAGAACTTGGTGATACTGAGCCTGACATCTCGTGAGCACCGTGTTCTGAAGCAGAGACTGCTGGAACCATACCTATCAGGCACATCGACAAGGGAGTTTGAGTACAAATGGATCACCACGTGTGGGCTGCTCTCAGACAGGTAACTGCAGTGAATCCTGCGTCTATGTAAGGAATAAAATCTCACGACTTGGCGTGAGTGAAGGCCTAGGTGCATTGGAGACATCCAAAGCGAAGCAGATGGTAATTTGAGACATAAGTGGTGATGAATTATTGATGTGAATGACATGGCCTTGACTATGAAAGTGGTGCCAGTATAAATAATGTGAGGTGGAAAATGGGTGCATTGAAATCTGTCAGGAATCCTGGGGTACTATACTGTGCTACAGTAAAGATTTCGGTTACACCGAAGACTCTATTTCAAACCACAACACACGACAAGGCGCGGCCATTTTGGAATAACTAAAAACCTGAATCGGAAAATTAGGTAACACTCAAATTCCACTTAAGAGATTAATACACACAATCAAATAAGGGAAAAAGTCGAGCCATAATAAAGTGCAGGTTAAAAGGATAATGAGTAAATAAATAAAACAATAATTAGAATACAATACGAAAGGAAAATTACTCGGCCAGTGCAGCGGACGTAACAGGCCTAATAATGCGGGGCACAGCATGTTAAAAACAAACAACCGGCGGCATCGAGGCAGAGCGACATGGTCCCGTATGGGCAGGCAGAAGCACAGCCGGTGCACACCGGTATAACCGTAAGAAGCGACGCCAGCAGCGGAATACCCCTGCTTGGTTGGCTAGGGAGAGGGGGAAAGTACGCGACCAGTCGTAGCACATTGGGGCCGTATATAAGGCGGAACCGACATGCAGTAGAAGGCAGAACGCCCTGGGGCAGCCGGCCACATGAAGACCAAGGAGGCACTGACTTCGCGCCATAGGATCACTAGGAGAACGCTGGAAGCAGCTGAGACTTCCCATAGATGCATTAGGAAACCAAGGACAGCTCGACTTCCCATGAGGATCACATTAGACAGAAACCAAGGATACAGCTGACTTCCCAGACCAAGAGCAGACTGGACTCGCATAGGAACACAGACAGAACCAAGAGAGCACTGACTTCCCCATAAGGGATCACTAGAGAAGCCACAGGAGCACTGACTTCCACATAGGATGCACTAGGCAGAACCAAGGAGCACTGACTTCGCTACATGAGGAATCACTAGGAGAACCAGGAGCACTCGACTTCCTCATGAAGGAATCACTAAGGAAGCGAGAAACCCCAAATCCTGGAGACAAGACAAACTGACTTCCCATTTACAGGATTACTAAGCACCGGGAACAAGGAGCACATGAACTTTCCCCAATAATACACTAGGAGAACAAGGAGCACTTGACTTCCGCGATAGGATTGCAGCTAGGAAATCCAAGGAGGCACCTGCACTTCCTACAGGATCACTAGGAGAACGCAAGGAGCAGCTGACTGTTCCCCAATCAGATCACTAGGAGAACCAAGGAAGCACTGACTTCGCACATAGATCACTAGGAGAAACCAAGGAGCACTGACCTTCCCATGACGAGTCACTAGAGAGAGCCAAAGGAGGCACTGACTGAACACTGCAGGATCACTAGGAGAAACAAGGAGCAGCTGACTTCCCCATAAGGATCACTAGGCAGAACCAAGGAGCACTGACTTTCCCATAGGGATCACTAGGGAGAAGCCAAGGGGAACACTACGCTGACCCTGTAAGAGATACTCGAGCAGCGCTACAAGACGCACAGTCCGCACTTTTCCCCATGTAGATTACGGAGGCAGGCACGCGCCCACGGGTAGGAGGAGCGCCTGACGCCCGGTGGAGCGGCGCACAGCTAAATAGGAAGCGCACGACACAGGGAATACTGACCGCCAGTATAGGAGCACTACGGGCAGTCGACAGGAAGCAGACGACGAGCACAGTTCACCCCCGAGACGGCAGAAGAAAGAAGACAGAAGATAAGAAGAGAGCAGAACAGGATAGAAAGAAAGAAGAAACAGACAGAAGGCGGACAGGAGAAAGAAGAAGGAAGACAGAAGAAGCGAGGAAGAAAAAGCAGATAGAAGGAAGAAGAGAAAGCATATAGACAGAAAGAAGACAGAAGAGTAAAGAAAGAAGAAATAAAAAGAAGAGAAGAGGGAGACAGAAGATAGAAGATGAGAAGAAAGAAGAAGAAGACAGAGAACAGAGAGAAGAGGGAGGAGAACGCCTGGGAGCCGACCGACAGGTGCCGTTACCCCCTTATTTTTCACTCCGGGCGACCCCAATAGAGACGTTGGGTTCGCGTGCACTCGGTAGATCTAAATTCTTGCACCTAGCCTTTCCCTGGCCTTCTGTAAACATAAACTATATTTAAAGGGATCGTTTACTCTAGGTTCTAGGGTTATTTTCAGTTAATTTAGGTTAAAAGTTACGCTACATAAAAAGTTCAATGGTTCAATCACCATTAGAAATATTATTAAAAAATGTTTTAAAACTAACCGACTACAGTTTGATTACAACGACGGGTGGCGTCACTCAAGCGGCACGATCTGATGAGTTGCGCAAACCACTTTTCAGCCCCAAGGGCTGCAGATCGAGGGTGTTTCTTATTTATTAATTTAAAAGCAAAGATGGTGTAATCTAATATATTATTGAGTTCGTATGTATATGTATGTCTGTATGTATGTATTGTATGTTCTTCCTATAGGCGGCCAAACCGCGCCAAGAGCGATCTGGATGCAATTTTCACAGGGCCAATCTCTTATACCCGGGGAGTGTTCCTAGATGAAAAAACCTGTCAAACCGTCAAACTCACCGAAAAATTCGTGAAAAACCCGTCAATTCGTGAATCTTCACACAATGTCAGCACTGAACTGTACAGTGCTGCCACAAGAACAAAATCGATTCCCTCACGTCATCCGGCTGCGGTATGTGAAACCGAAACCAATACATAAACACACCAACAACCAGCACCAGTTTCACCAGTTCAGAGTACAACTCACTCAGCTCAGAGGTTCAGTTCAGATGCTACGATCTCACAATGCCTTGTACCATCATCGAAAGCTATGCAGTTTTCTGATTCAGTAGGGAAATTTTTCATTTCAATGTGCATAGGTTGCGTGTTCTCTATCTATACTATGGAGCGCTAATAATCGACAAATTGTTCATTATTAGCTCCTGATACTATATTCCTTTTATTCATGCCTACGATCTCACAATGGATAGTGTACAGTGGGGAGCTCAAGAATTGGAGACGCAGGAATCTCTACATATTTGCACCATAGAATATGCACGAAAATTAAACATCTTTATCAAGAGGCGTTTCAATGAAAAAGTCCAACCGCCATTCCTACATTCTCTTATAATAACTTTTGTCATTTACACCATATTATATTATGTCCCAGGAGCTCTAAGTTCGGTTGTGCTGTCATATAAATGTCATACCGTAACAGTGTTTTTTCGTTTTTCCCATGCTTATTATCGTATTACACTCATTTCTAAATATTAATATTGTCTGCAATGTTATTGTCCGATTTTTACGCCAATGTTCCTATTCTGTCCCATTATTATAGTACTATGAATTAGTAGCACGGTTTTACCCAGCGCAGCGGGTACCTACCGCAGCTAGTCTAATATATATTTGAGTTCGTATGTATCTATGTATCTATGTATCGTATGTTGTATGTATGTATCTTCCTATAGGCGGCCAAACCGCCCAGCGATCTGGATGGAATTTTCACAGGCCATCTCTTATACCGGGGAGTGTTCCTAGACGAAAAAACCTGTCAAACCGTCAAACTCACCGAAAAAAAAAATCCGTAAAAAAACCGTCAATTGCGTACACTGTACAGTGCTGCCACACAGAAAAAATCTATGACTATTTCTTGCATCCGCTTCATCAGCTGTTGCTTTGTGAAACCGAAACCAGTACTAAACCAGAGCACAGCCAGGACCAGCTCAGAGGTTACGACTGCATGTTTATCAAGAGGCTTTCAATGAGAAGTGCCTCATTCGTACATGCTGTTACGTGCCGTACGTCGCCATACGTGCATGCCGTACGTTGGGAGCTCAACAGTTCGAGACCCAGGAATCTTACATATTTCACCAGAGAATAACACGAAAAACATTGTTTATCAAGAGGTTTTCAAATGAAAAGTGCAACCCATTCGTACATGCTGTTATAATAACTTTTGTCATTTACACCATATTACTATTAATGTCCAGGGGTTCTAAGTTGGTTGTGCTGTCATATAAATGTCATACGTAACAGTTTTCCCCATGCTTAATTATTATCTTATTAGAATGATTTCTAAATATTCATATTGTGTGCAATGTTATTGTCGGATTTTTTAGCCCAATGTTCCTATTGTGTCCCATTATTAGTAGTATGAATTAGTAGCACGATTTTACCCTGCGCAGCGGGTACCAGCAGCTAGTATCTTATAAACGACATATAGTTTCAATTATAATATGGATAAATTTGCCCTAAAATGAATATCGTTCGGTTAAATAGCATTTAGGTATAAATATAATTGCACTTTTGTGATTATAGCCCTCGGGCTGTAACGTGCAAAATAAATTGTCAAATACACAACTTTATCGGGGTGGCAGCACGGTCGCGGGTGTCATATGGCGCCGTTCAAATTTTGTAGCGTTGGTGTGTAATTAATTATAACAATTAAATTAGGTATCTGGTAACAAATACGTGTGGAGCCTCCATTCAGTAAAACCCCACCTTCTTTGCAAAATCATGATGGATTTCATTAAAACATACTAAAATTATAACACTTTGTCTACTAAAATGTGCAGCGGGGTTGTGTCAATGCGTTAATTTCACCTCATGTATAAAACCTTTTGGAAAAATGGTGTGTGTCTGTCTCATTGTCTGTTACCATCGGCTGGGAAATCCTTTGGCTTTTAACAACATGCTTTCTTGCAGGTCTCAAGATCATGTTTTAGGAGACCAGGAAAAAGTGTGTGCAAGGGCTTTATGTTTTGTGCTGCAAAGGATGCTAGATTTTCTGGCAAGTTTCCCATTGATTATTCCAGTATTATTCTAAAGCTTTTCCTACAAGTGTTTGCTTTAACATACGAATTCAGGAAGAATAATAACCGCGTTCACACGGAGCAACAAATTCGGTATAAAGCATTCACACTAGGCAAAAATGCGCGGTCCAACAATACGGAATCTAAATAGATGCCGTATTTGTTGAAATACGCGGCTTCCCAGATGCCGAATTACTTCTCGTGCTTGAGAAATTCCGAGTCTCTTAAAACGCAAATACGGCATTTCTGAAGCCGCGTATGTTATAGACTGGTCCGCGCACGACAGTTCTACTCGTGTTACACTGACGCGAGTGGAACTGTCGAGCGCGGACTAGTCTACGTATTCTGTCGTCGTCGTTGCTGGTCATTGATTGTTTAATTCGCATTGTTCGCTTGATTGTTCGCTTGGACGCATTGTTTGTTTTTTTAACTCGCAGCTTGCAAGTAATTAACTAAATATGGCATTACTGAAGCCGCGGAACAGCGTGTGAATGCTCGGGTAGAGTAAGTTGCGAATTTGTCTCAGATTCGGTAGATCGCAAATACAGAATTTCATAAATACGGAGTCTCGTGTGAACGCAGCTAATAGCAATGGCTGCATCTTTTTCCCTTCAGGGGGATGTTCCATTTTTAGATCGTGATCTTATTGAGAGGCTGGATCCAATAATAAACAGTGAGAGGGAAAAATGCCCAGTGTCTCTGCAGAGATTGATGGGAAAATATCATTGGTACATGTTTGAAGAAATTGGGTAAGTCTGTGTCTTTAATGTACGTGTACATGCCTGCTGAATCAATACTTTGCATTAAAGCTCTTGCGAAAGCACAAAAATGTGTCTGTTAAACATAGTAATGTATAGCTTTGTTATTTTTCAACTATATGCATCAATACAAAAATGTATAAAGCGCTCTAAACGTATTTTTAGCGCGATTTGGTAATAGAACTACGCGAAAAACGCGTCTCTCGTGACGTCACGCGGATGACGTAGATTTGGCAACTATTCTCGAAATACGAATTAGCTCATGGTAACAGTGTGCAGTAAACCGTTGCATATTTACTGAGAAAAATGGAAAAAACTGCTTAAAAATCAAGTTGTGTGTTAGAATTGAAAAATTTTGCGAATAAAGCGGCATAACTCATAAAATACGGCACTTAATAACAATCCCTGACGAGCTTTTTTACAGCAATATGTTACGATTAAAACGAGTGTAGAATTAAATTATTCCGTGTTGTAATCACAGAGAAATATCCATTTATACATCGGCTACTATGTCAGAAACCGAAACGGAGAAATCAGCGTTTTTCTATTTTTCACAATGATCGACCGCCTGTGTGCATGTGGAACATCTACTTTTAGTTACAAACTGTATCTGTACTGGCTTAGTGAATATCGTGAAAATGCTGGTTGTATCATGTCTCTGACGTCATCAGTGACGTCAGCCGCAGCTCACTACACGTGTGCACAAGTTCACATGTACAGCGGTGGCACATAGTGTTAGCCATCGAATAAAGTTGAAAATGAAAAATCGGTAAAATTTTGCCTAAAACCTTGAGAGTAACCTTAACCTAATGTGGCGTGTCTTGATATGATGGGAAATGACGGAGGGGTGGGACAGGGTTTAGGTGCGTTCAAATCGACGTATGTGTCTTTACATCACACATTTGACGGCTTGCAGGCAACAGACTAGGTTGTTATTCCCGGAGCTAAACCACATTCAGGCTGTGACTGCCGTGATGGTTACTGCTGTATCACTCTGCAGCTACATTCTAGAATCTCGTGTGAATCCAAACGTCATTTCAGAATATATGAAAGCAGATGAGGAGCGTACACAGGTGATTAACAAATTGACCTATCCATCTGGGTGAGATAAGCATGCTCCAGTTTGATATTGCTGCTAGATCGGGGCTAACGCTCCATTAGGAGTGTTCCCAACTTTGATATCATTAATGATTAATGATTAATGATTGATAATCCTAACCCTAACCCTAACCCTAACCTAAATGACATTAAACCACAAACTAATATATAACCATATATATATATATTTATGTTATTATGACCATTAATGACATTAAAGTTGGGAACACTCCTAATGGAGTATCACCCTAGATCGGTCAGCCTGGACTAGTTTATACATTTTTCTCTTGTGCATGCCAAATTGTCCGACTTTGTGGCAACTCTTTGCCAAGCATTGTCTTTTAAAAGCATCCTGTCACAACACTGATCAGTTAGATCTGCCTGTCAGTCACACCAGACAAATGGGTCGGTTTATTATGACGTGGTTCCTTTTTTCATGTGCTGAAACACATTCATTTGTTGTAACTGTCAGCAAGTTCATAGATCATTTGAGAAATATGTCATGATATACTGGAATATGTCATATCAAATGACTAGAACATATAATATGGAATTAGAGTGTATATTGGGGAGTACAAAATGACCAAGTGTTTGCATGATGTATGTGTTTTTGTGTGGCTTAATTATCATAGCATAGCCTATTTTATGTGTTTACTTGTCTACGTTTATTGAATACATTGAGCTGTCATCTTGTGGTATTTACTGCTTGTCTGTTAATGTTGCACCAGGACAGCAGAGGATTCAAAGACTTGGGGAACCAGGCATTTTTAAAGAAAGATTATTCAAAGGCACTACATTGCTATACAGTAGCCATCGAGAAAAATCCATTCAATCACATCGTTTACGAAATTCGGGCACAGGTAAACTGCTAAATAGACTTTTTAGGGAACATGCAACCAGCAAGTTTGTGTTGTGTGTAAATGATTAAAAGGTTCCATCTGAATGTACTAAGGCAGTGGTTCCCAAACGGTGCGGGCATGCTACAGGGGTGCAGCGCAAGAGGATGGCAAGTGTGGCGGAAAGTTTCAAAGACACAAAGAAACATTTAAAGTGATAGTAGCCTCTAGGATTTTACTGCATACAACTGTACTTACTGTATAACAAATCGTCTATACCCACATGTATTTGTCACCAGATACTTAATTAATTATTTACACATCAACGCTACGAAATTTGAACGGCGCCATGACACCCGCGACCGTGTTGCCACCCTGAAAAAGTTGCGTATTTGCATTTTTATTTTGCAGGTAAATGACCGAGGGCTAATCACAAAAGTGCAATTATATTTATACCTAAATGCTATTTAACCGAACGATATACATTTTAGGGCAAATTTATCCATATTATAACTGAAACTATATGTCGTTTATAAGATATTACAATCCTTTTGCTTTTAAATGAATAAATAAGAAATACCCTCGGTCTGTATAGCCCTTGGCTGGAAAGTGGTTTTGCGCAACTTCTCAGATCGTGCGCTTTGAGTGGTGCCACCGTCGTTGTAATCAAACTGTAGTCGTTAGTTTTAAAACATTTTTTTAAAATATTTCTAATGGTGATTGAACCATGAAACTTTTTATGTAGCGCAATTATAACCTAAATTAGCTGAAAATAACCCTAGAACCTAGAGGCTACTGTTCCTTTAAACATTCAAAGAAACATTTTCAAAAAATTCATGTGCCAAAAATATATATGAAGGTCATTTTCTCATTTGATTTATTTTGTTACATGTGATAAATATACAATAATATGGTAAATATATGTATAGAATTAGAAACTGGTAGAATTTTTCAGAAGTTTCTGTAAAGCTTTGTAGGTGTGGCACCATAAGGTGTAAGACATTATGTAAACGCATTAGGTTTATTACAACATGACGGGTCCTCCCGCGCCGACCCATATTACACCCAGTACACAGACGTGACCATACGCGTAAGAAAGTAGTGCAACATATGATATATGACAGTTTCTAGATTTCATGCAGTCTCCCTTTGTATTCAGTGCAGTGTTAAATAGTATCGTGTGTTATTTTTGCATTTATTTGTAAGATTTATTATACTTTCTGTATGTCCCATGATCATATATAGTAGTTGTGCTCTATGTTATGAATCAAGCACTGTTATGAGTTGTTTTTTGTTTTTGAATGTAATTCTTATCATGAAAAAATTTAGTGTGCTGCGAGCAAATTTTTATTCCAAAGGTGCGGCCCAGAGAAAAAAGTTTGGGAACCACTGTACTAAGGCGTGTTTTTGTATCTTTACGGTCATCTCATCCCTTTCCTACTGAAGTGCTAAACTTTCCGGCATGTAAGAAACAACTTATAAGATGTGCAAGAAATAACCTGTAATGCATGTAAGAAATAGCCTGTGTGCTGTATAAGAATTAGAAAGTACATGTGAGCTGTGTGGGAATTGGCTGCTTCACATTGTCATGCATTGCAGGTGTACATTAAAATGAAGAAGTACTCGAGTGCGAGATCAGACTGCTTCCGTGCAATGCTTCTGGACGAAACCTGGTTAAAGGTACTCTACACTCATGGGCAAGGTCTTCACGCTCATGCTATCCACAGCTGTAAAAACGTCGATGTCTATTCTTTGCACTGAAAACTGAGGCCCGTTTTTGTCTCGTTTGGCACTGCAGTAGTAAGCATGTTACAGTTGCCTATATCGTTCTCTGCATTCCGTGCCAATCAACATTGCAGTGAATTTTATGCTAACAGTATTAAATGCGTATTTGACGTTCTGTTTGCGCATGTAATGCGTTTGTTTGTATGGATGTAATGCAGAGATACTGACTTACATATGATCTGTGTTTGTTTGTGCAGGCATATTACAGGGATGCGGATGCACTAGAGAAGATGGGGCGGCTGGAGTATGCCTGTGCCACACTACATGCTGCCATTAAAAACTGCTCTCTCGTTTACCCCATGGCTGAATTTAAGAATATAAATCAGAAACTGGCTAAAGTCCAGCAAGCTTTATTAGACAAAGGTTGGTTAACTGTTGCTGTGGACTAATGTGTTATTCTGGGTATGTTAAACGTAACTGTTAGAGAGAGATATATATACTGTACATCAGCTACTAGGGGTAATTAGCTGAAATTGTAGCAGTGCGTAGAGTGTTTTATTTTGTTAATTAATCGAAATGGTTGTGTTGAAATCTTAAGCTATTACTTATGTATTTCTCTATGGGCGTGCGTGCAGCCGGGGGGGGGGGGGCTTCGAACGGGTTTTTAAAGACGCATGTTTTCTACGATCTACTGTTTGTGCAAATCCGTACACACGCAGCTCATCGTAGCCGACTAGCTGCAGATAACGAATATACACAACGCAAGGAGAACACATGCTCAGCTGGCACTTATCTTGTCCAGCCTACATTTACACTGGTATGTCAATGGACTCGTAATGAACACCCGAGCGTTGTATCAAAATGACTTTTAATGTTTTCAGAGGGTAATGAAGTGCAAACGAAGCTGCAGCAAGAGCAGAAGGTGCCACCTAAGGAGCAAGAACAGCAGCAGCAGCAGCAGCAGAAACAGCAGCAGCCGCAGCAGAAACAGCAAGAACAGCAGCAGCAGCAAAAACAGCAAGAACAGCAGCAGCAGCAGAAACAGCAAGAACAGCAGCAGCAGCAGAAACAGCAAGAACAGCAGCAGCAGCAAAAACAGCAAGAACAGCAGCAGCAGCAGAAACAGCAAGAACATCAGCAGCAGCAGAAACAGCAAGAACAGCAGCAGCAGCAAAAACAGCAAGAACAGCAGCAGCAGCAGAAACAGCAAGAACATCAGCAGCAGCAGAAACAACAAGGACAGCAGCAGCATTGCAATAGTATGAAATCAAATTTCGTTATATGACGCGCCTGCATGAATATAGCTGTTATACGTGAACTGCCCGGTTAATTGAAGAAACATCAGGAGGCCATTTCGAGAAACATTGTGAAGAGTTACGACTAGCAGAAGTCAAAAACCTGGTGACGTTTACATGCTACTTCAGTTTAAGTCATGACGTGGAGGTCTTACAATGTCGCGTCTACTTGTGTTTCTCATAACATGCTGCCTGCGATTGATAGAGCTTGCATGTGCATCTATAGCCAACATAGTGGTTAATAACATACAATATATACTTATTGACGCAATAATTAATAACTGACAACAACAACAACACATCATTATCATCGTGATCAAAAATAACCACCAGCAAAAGCACCAACAGCAACAACAACAACAAAAACGAAAACAACAACAGCTAGCAATGACAATGCGCCATGCAACTCCGCAGAACGTTGTACTTGCACGCGAAGTTTTGTTGCAGATAACATGAACTGTGGACTAACTTTTTTTAATGTCGATTCCTTTTTTACCACTGGCTAAATGCAGTGATGACTGAAGGCTATAATACCTATAGCAACTACAACTAAACAGAGGGCACTCACGGAGAGTGCATACCTCCGCCAGCGACATAGCTCGTAGCAGCCGCTCGTTCCTGCTGCTCGCTCACATGTACACGCTCGCTGCGCTGGCTGGCTCGCTCGCTGATGCGTTAATATCGATCGCGCAAACACACACACATGAACGCACAGACCCGATCACATTATCTCCCCTCCACTCCGTGGGCGGAGGTAATAACAGCTGCTACGCCAGTAAGGCTCATAGGGTCTATGTCCCCCAGGGTACTGCCGGAACGTACCCTGGGTACGGTCCGGTATACCGGAACGTACCCTGGTAACTATCTGATATGGTTAGGGTTAGGGCCGGAGTAGGCGTAGGCGACTCCCTAGACTTGTTAGTGGAGTAGGTGAGGTACGGTCCGGCTTATTAGATAGTACCAGGGTACTGTAATATAATTGAATTTCATTATCCATAACATAAGCGACCATCCATATAAATGAATAGAATTGTACGAGGGCTAAGCGACAATAAACAATAGAACAGGGCTTGTTAACAGAACATGGCATCTTCAGTGACTGATTTTACAGGTGCGTTCCGGTATACCGGACCGTACCCAGGGTTCGTTCTGGCAGTACCCTGGGGGACATAGACCCTCTCAGCGCCGGTAAGCTTAACGACTCGCTGTATTCTACTCTCTGTGTGTAGGTGATGATACAGTAAAGCTGCGGCAGCAATACTCTGCAGACAGTGAGCAAGCGTCACACCTGCTGCTGGCTGGAAAACCCACACAGGCTGCACAGAAGTACAAGTGCTGTATAGAATTGCTGGGAAATGTTGGGCCCCAGGTGAGCATTTGTTGCATGGTGGAAAGCCTGCTTGGAATTTACCTATCCATCTGAACGTGACAACCATGGCGCGCACCTTGGATGTTGTTGATAGATCGTATAGGTTATCTGGTAATCAAGCTCGTCTCGTTTCTACGCATGTTTAATGCACACAGGCCTAATTATCGACTTTGCTTCACTTTGATGCTAAGTGGTGTATTTCAAAACGTCCTTATCTGATTGCTGATTGGCTGAGACTACTTGTCAATTACGCCAGCTGGATAAGTATATTATATATCAGAATTTCTCGCTTACGATTCCTGACTGGTTTACTTTATCTCCTGCGATTTGTGAAACCCTTGAAACTAATCTATGTAAAAGCAATGGTGTGGGGCTCAGTAATGGCTCAGTAAGTAGGTGTACAACATGAAGCACATCTGATTGAGGATTTTGATCGTTTGCACCAAATGGTCACAGTGTCAACCAAGTGGATGGTGTCATTCTCCCTTTAAAGGAATAATAGGCCCATTGATTATGCAATGTTGATGAATGCTAGAGTAACTGCATGGCACCTTGTGTAGTTAATAAGTACGAAACCTTATAGCCTAACGCGTATTAGTTTGTCCAATATCACTGCTGCATGGTTACATTACAAGCAAGACTTGAAATCGGTTGTTGATATTCATTTACGTGCCGTAAATGTCATCCAGGAGTCAAGCGATAAGTCGCCGATGACGTAAACATTTGTGCGGCCCGTATGTTATGGACGCCAGATGAAATGGAGGTGTCAGCGGTGTAACCACGGCCACGGACTAAACGTGGAAATGGAGTAAAACACACGTACTAATCACGGACGCACATGGACAGCCCTGACAAAAAGTTCCTTATCACGAGCGTCCGTGTTTACGAAATCACTGATGATAGCATTGCGTACGGCCGAGCATGCGTGCGAAAATATCCGGTGCACTATAAATCTGTAAACAACTCGGTCAACTGATTTCTTGGACTGCGGATTTCAATTAGATATTTCTTAGTAACCAGCAGTGATATTGGACAAACTAATACGCGTTTGGCTATAAGGTAATGTACTTATTAACTACACAAGGTGCCAGTTACTCTAGCATTCGTCAACATTGCATAATCAATGGCCATATTATTCCTTTAACTACACAAGGTGCCAGTTACTCTAGCATTCGTCAACATTGCATAATCAATGGACCTATTATTCCTTTAAGCATTATGCCAAACTACAACAGTCTTACTACTGTACATGTAACTATAACTACAACCACAACTATAACTGAACTATAACTATAGCTGTATACCTATAACTGTAACAACAAACGCGTGCGTGCGTGCGTGCGTGCGTGCGTGCGTGCGTACTTTGCTACTGCTACTGCTACATTATGCAGTGTAGAGTTGTTAATGTCATAACATTGTAACGCAACTCTTGATATGACAAGAAGAGATGTTCTCTTGTCACGTCTGTAGGTGCTTGGCGTGACGGTCAAGGATGCTGCATTGCTAGACTACGCGTGTGGCATCGCCTGCGTTTGCACGTACTCCTACCAGCGTGTACAATACGACGCCGTGAATCACTTCAAGAGGATGCAGAGCACCCATCACTGCAGCGAGTTAGAGCCGCTGACGTGCTATGGTCTTGGCCTCGCCCATTTCACCCTCAATAGGTAAGGTTCAAGCTACAGGTCTAGATACTATAGTAAGGCCTAAGAAAAAAAGATGTTTGTTTCTGCTAACAAGCTGAAAAAAATTGGACACGGTAGGCAGGCAAAAAAAAAATCAAATATTCTAACAATACTTGTTTTATACTTATAGCAGCCCATATAATGACTTCAAAGTCAAATTAATGCATTCACCGATAAGACGTTGGGATTTTTTTTTGCCGATCACAATAAAAAGTTTGGACACAGCGGTTTAAAATCGACTCGGTCGGGTTAGCGGAAACAAACGTCTTTTTTTAGGCCTAAGAACATTTGAGTACTGCCTTCTGTAGAAGCTGGGGTGAGAATCTTTCATGGATCCACAGTGTTTGGTTTTTGGATTTATCACCCTTGAGATCAATGCAAATTTTATCCATTCAGAAATCATAAGTGTGTACGTAGGCCTACAGTGTGCTGCTCAAGGGGTCGTTGTCGTAACAGGTACTACAGATATGTACCCGAGGTACATATATGTATACACAAAGTGTACCAGACTTGTACTACAGAAGTGTACCCTAACCCTAACACTAACCCAAACCCTAACCTTAACCCTAACCCTAACTCTAACCTTAACCCTAACCCTAAACATACCTCATATAAAAATATAAACATAATACTAAACAACCTAAATCTACCTCGGTTACATATCTGTAGTACCTGTTACGACAACGACCCTTCGTGCAATACTAAACAACCTAAATCTACCTCGGTTACATATCTGTAGTACCTGTTACGACAACGACCCTTCGTGCCAGTGTGCTGTGCTGGGTTTGGCCTGAGTTAATTCATAGGAAGGTAACCGTAACCCTTGATGGGTAATGTTTTGGTTAGGCTCTGTGTGCATCAAAGTCAAGGTTTGTACAGGTTCTGCACCTTCTGCAGTGTACTGTAAGTCTAGAAAGCCCTGGGCATTTGGCTATATGATCCTGAAAAGTGTGTTTTGCCGTAGAATGTTCTTGAAAATGAGCACATGTATCTTGTCTGAAAGGAAATAAAATTGCTAATATATGAGCTGAAGCATTTAAAACATTAAGTGTGAGCTTTTCCTTAATAGACAGATCTCTGTTTTGTATGGATCGTTTCAATGTATAACTGTTTCAGTAGGAATTCTAAAAAATAAACTTATAGACATGTGTTTGTTTGTTCGATAGAGGCGGATTCACCATAGTGTCACTCGAGTAAAACACCAGAGTTGTCCTTTATGAACAAGTGACCTTTCTTTAGAGGTGGCCTGGTAATGGAGGTGTTACCGTGTGTGTTAATTTTACGTGTGAATTGTAGATTCATGATGGCGCTCAAACCTTTGATGCGAGGTCTGCAGGCAGACCTGTCACTCATTACGGCTCATCATTGGCCTGGCACTCGGGAAGCTATCATTGAAACACAACCCGGAAACCTGAAGGTAACCAGATATAAAAAAATCTTCTCGGTTTTTTTTGCGAAAAACGTACCTCTCCAAGTCTCCATGACTTTAGTGCTTTGCTTTATCCTAGCATGCTTGTTGAAGGTGTTCTAGAAACCTTGTAAAATCTCATTTCCAATATCTCGTACTACAAGTTTTTTGTGGGCTAGATTACTCAGGATTTATTTGCAATAAAAATGGTGGTTAAAATTCACAATTTGAAGGCATATATATTTATCTTATTTTTATATTGGGTTGTGTATTATTTGGAATGACATCCCTTTTCATCTAAACTTTCTTATTCCGTATTTTCAATTTCAAGACAAAATTGGCAAAACGGATTAATATTTTCACAACAAATAATGGGTACTAACATGCAGGTATTACCCAGATAAAATCGCATACTGCTACCCTGGGTAATCCATCAAATATGTGTATAGCTGTCATCATACTTGCTGTGGTATGTAATGAGCAGAGGTAACCTTCATAACTAACATGCTAGTAGTGTACACCTGTGTAGGGAAGAAGATAGCTCAACAAGGTTGCTGTATACTGTTAATATAGTAACAATTTACTGTTACTGAAATATTCGACAACTTTCCTCACTGGCTGTGCCAAAACCTGTCTACAAAGTATACGAAATCGGTCACCGTAATTTGTTTTGATAAATGACCAAATCGTTCCCAACTTCCCTGCAGCAGTTGTGTGAAGTCGCAGCAAGCGCAGCTTTGTTAACACGTGACAACGCTCCTCTGTTCGTCTGGCTGTGACCGACAACTATTCAAGTCGTTGCAGCTATTGCATGCTTCTGTGGTTTTAGATGTATTTGGAGAGTCTCTTAGAAAAGTGTAAGCACCCACCGGCAGCTGACGCCGTATGCAGATATGTTGACTGCCTGCGTGTGATCATGGAAATATACATCAGGTATTGTAAGGGTTGGGCCACAATTAAAAAAAATCTTTGTTTGCCCTCACCCGACC